ACCAGGGGCGGGTGCAGGGCAGGGCCGCGATGGGCGGTTAGGTCAGGGCCGCAACTGGGCGGCTGTAGGGCAGGGCCGCGACGAGGCGGCGGCAGAGCAGGGCCGCGACGGGGCGGCAGCAGGGCAGGGCCGCGACGGGCGGCGAGGTCAGGGCCGCGACGGGCCGAGAGGGTAGGGCCGCTACGGGCGGCAGTAGGGCAGGGCGCGCGACGGCGTAGATGAGGCAGGCGCGAGGCGCGCTTCGGGCAGGGTAGGAAAAAACGATCGTGGTGGGCCCTTAAAAAAACGTTCCCACTAGGGAACCTGCTCTGAAACCATGTGAAAAATAGAACGAGGAATGGTTGAATTAGCAAGCAGGTGGGTACAAGTAGAAAAACCTAAAATTGTTGTACCCCATATTGACTACCCCAGTACAGCCTACACAGACTATGTCATATAAGTTTGACATCTTCGTCCACACGAGCTCCTGTGGAGAAACCTGGAGAAGAAGGCCCATCACACCTGCCACCAACGACGGCCCCATAGTTCCAGCTCCTTCCCCACGTCAGCCGATCAGCCACAGCATTTTTGGACGCAGCTTCGGCCAGAAAGTGGATTCCGTTTCCGTGCCATGCTCGCCACGTCAGCTACAGATGCGAGAGCGCATTTTGGGCATCCGATACACTTGCGTGACGGATAAGATGGCGTTCCTGAGATGGGGCCCCATCGATTTCCATGGTCGGTGCAACAACATTGGTCCAGCGTGGCAGAATTCGATTCTGGTCACACCGACCACACGTGCCAGGCGACGGTAGTCGCCTAGGGCGAAAAACATGAAAGATTTGGGTCAACCAATCACAGGATTTTGTATTTAACGTTCATGCGACAAGATTTAACGGCCAATTCCAACCAAGCCTCACAAATGTGCTCCAAACCCATTCCAGTCACGACTGGGCTCCGTGACAGTCAGAAACGACAGTGGTTATGACGTTTGGCGTTAGGGAAAGTTGACGTGCGGAAAAATCGCACGACCATGAGCTCCCAATTCATGCGACGTCCACATTCACTCATTCCATTGTTGCCATGCCTCAGGCACGTGCTCTGTGCACTGTAGCATGGTGAACTTCGGATGGGGCCCCATCTCAGGAACGCCATCTAAGTTCCACATCAGCAAGGAGAAGATCGGCGAGGGAGGAAGTGGCGAAATCAGGAAATGTCTGGAATGGAAGACTGGGAGTGTGTTCGCTTGCAAGACTATTCACAAATTCAATCTCAAGGTACAAAAGAATATGCACTGACCTGCACTACAAGCTAGGATTGTAGTTTGAAATACAAATCACTTTCTCATTTTGACAAATCATGCTCTCCTTTTTTTCTGTGTCATTGTTCCTGCAGACACCGAGGGAGGTCGCCGATTTACGCACAGAGGTTATGCTCATGGGTCTCTTAAAGGTGCATTGCGAAATCGTGCAAGTGCACGAAGTATTCGAGGACCGCAAGGTAAGTGCAATCGCTTCTCATGCAATTTGTTTTTCATGTTAAGTTTTCTGGACTTCCACATCTTATATGCAAGAACGTTTTTCTTCACGTATGCCCTCATTAGGACCGAAAGTATTGTGCTGACCCCTCCTTCCCCGGCCCTTATTCTCTAATCTTAACTCCCTCTCATCCAGGCCGTTCATCTCGTTATGGAACTGTGCAAAGGTGGTGATCTTTTCGAACTCATACAGAACGCCCCCAAAGGCCGTCTCAACGACCGACATGCAGCATCAGTGATGAGACAGCTGCTGGGAGCTCTCCACCACTGCCACTCCCTCGGTGTGCTTCACCGCGATGTGAAGCCTGAAAACATCCTCCTGTGTGACCGGATGCCGCATCAAACGAGCAATGGGGAGGTGGGGATCAAGCTCAATGACTTTGGAGTGGCAGGATTTCTCAACGACGGTAAGGACCGTGCTGGTCAGAATTATTATTCTTTCCTTCCCTTTCTCTTGCTTATTTCATGTGAGTCCAGCCTTTTTTCTCTTACCATATTCTGACCGTTCTCTCCCATACCCTTCCACCCGATTCTCGGTTTCAGACGGTGTATGCACGGACAGCGCAGGCACATCAGAGTACATGGCACCAGAGATGGCCATGAAAGCACCGTACAATGCCAAGGCGGACGTCTGGAGCACCGGTATCGTACTATACGCCATGCTTGCAGGCGGGCTCCCCTACTGGGCGGCACTACCAGACAAGTTTAACAAGCAAGCTGGAAGCACGGGCGGCGGAAGCAGGAGGGGGAAGGGGAAGACGATGCAGGAGGGTATTGCGTGGAATGAGCTTTGCTTGAAGGGGGGGGGTATGGAGGGGTGTGTCGGAGGAGGCAAAGGATCTGCTGAGAGCCTTGCTGAGGAAGGACCCGGAGGGAAGACCCTCGGCTTTGGAGACACTGGGTGAGTTCGGTCCTGTTGGGCATTGGGTGAGTGCGGTGCGGTGCTGTTGGGTATTGGGTGAGTGCGGTGCGGTGCTGTTGTGCATTGGGTGAGTGCGGTGCGGTGCTATTAGGCATTGGGTGAGTGTGGTGCGATTGGGCATTGCGTGACGTCAGTGGTATAAGCAATGTGCCTTTTCTGAATAGTGGGTGTGCATGGTCTCTTTCTGGCATTCGATATCACTGGGGTGTGTTGATGCTCACATGATCAGCCGTGTGCTGCTGCTTGCACTACTATGGTGTGCTTATGCTTGCACGGATGTCACTGCTTTGGTGCTTTGTTGCTTACATGCATGACGCTGCTCTATTGCTTACATGCTTTTGTGATATGCTATTTCTGTCGTGAAGGAGCGGTTAATATGGAATGCTCACTGCTTTATGATGGGCAATGTTTCGGCTTAACACGGCAGCTATGAGAGCCTTTTCTTCCTTTCCTTTTCCTCCAATGCAGGTCATCCCTGGTTGAAGCGTGCCTCACTAGATTGCCAACAGCTGGAGAAAGTGACTCAACACTGAATAAAGCAGCAGACGACTTTCGACTCGACTCATACATCAACATATTTGCTCCAATGCAGGTCATCCGTGGTTGAAGCGTGCCACACTGGATTGCCAACAGCTGGAGAAAACAATTCAACACTGAAGACTGCACTAACATGGGGAGGAGTGAATTTCACTCACACTCAGTATGGCTTTTAATCAAACCAACTGCTGTAACACTAATAACGATATATACTCAGTAAATATTTCCCAACCTGAACTGCACCTTCGACAACCACAAGCCTCCAATCAGGGCCAACATACATACCTTGACAGACCCACCACATCCTCCCTTTCCCATCCTACCCTATCAGCCCACATCTCACAATATCCTTCCACTCCTCTCCACCCCATCAACCTCTCTGGCAGACCAACATATTGTCATCCCATGCCGGCAGCATTGCAGTAGGGTACAGGTCAGTGAGCAGGCGCAAACAAGCATCCGTACAGTAAGTCTCTGTCTGTTGTGAACTCACTTCTATTCCAAGCATACGGTGAATTCTGAGGCATATACAAAGGTCAATGAACAGACACGAGCCTTTGGATGATGTTGTATAGGGAGGGACTCAGACCACGTGTCCTCGAGCCGTCAGTCACTAGACCTATCACGTACCTTCTAAATGAGATGCCTCTGGAGCTCACTGCTCAGGAACGAGCCTCTGGATGATATTGTAGAGAATCTCAGACCACGTGTCTTCCAGCATGGAGTACCTTCTGTTTGAGGCGTTAGGAGCTCATTGCACGGGCACAAGCCTCTGGATAATATCGTACAGGAACTCAGACCACCTGTCTTGGGGGCCTGGCTGACAGTAATGCAGGCAGTCCCATTTATCCTTCTCAATCATCCCTCAATGCCCATCCGGTCTTAAAGCCATCATAGGAGTCACATCCATGAACACCCCGCTCGCGTCCTCGACTATCCCCCTCACCATCTCGTTTTGCCTCCTGAGATCTTTCCAAAAGATCGGCAATGCTGCTACATCCTGCCGCTCTGTGACTGGCCGGGTGTGGTTCAGGCAATCGGGGTGCCCGGGGGGTGTGGTGCGGTAGATTAGGAGTTTGTCTGGGTGATTGTGGCAGAGAAAACGGAAGACTCTACTGACTGCCTTGACCACCATTTTTGCTGGCTTGTAGTGCGCACCCCGATTCACTACAATCACATGAGATTTCCTAACTCCTGAAACATGGTGCTACGGCACGTGGAGCCATGCCGCCCGCTCTAGCTTTTCCTCCTGTACATGCATCAGCCGAGCTGTTCCCACAAAGTGGATCTCCAATTTAGAGCATCCCTTGATGTGGTAACCAGCACATATAATAGTCCTTGTATCGTCAATCCACTTGAGGCATTTCCGTTTCACAATCGTCCCCACCGCCGGCTTCGGGATATGCTTAATCATGCTATTTAGAAACGAGTGGGGTGTTCCCTCGTAATAGGTCATAAGCGCAATCCGCAGCCCATCCTTCCGCCGAGCGGCCAGTTCGCAAAGCGCGCGCCCGTCGAACCTCGAAAACATCTCCCCCTACACGCTCTCCCTCCCCACCACCGCATGCCTGGCCCCGATAACTCCAGCACACTTTTCCCGAGGCACCACCGACTCGTACTTCAGACTCTCCCGAACCTTCCACGTAGTGGCAGCAGCAGCGGGATTCCACCCCGAGTTAGCTATTTTATCTGTCTAGACTCCCGCAATTCTACTGTGTTCGGAGTCGCAGCTCTACAGCTCCTTCTCCTCACACGGTAGAACCTTAGGTGTCGCGTTGTACCACCACTCGCCGCGCTCTGCAACGCAGCTCATCCATTGCTTGAACGCCGCTGGTTTGCCTCTTCCAGGCCTAAGTCTCGAGCCTTTGATTCATCGTCGGAAGTCGCCAAGGTTGGCTGGCTCATCCGGTGGAAAGGAGACGCGTGGTAGCCCGGTGAACGCGTGGAGTGTAGGATTGTTACGAATCATCGCGGTGACTGTACCGTACACCTCGTCCACGTGGCAGTGCTCCTACATGAGCCAGTTCACCTTACTTGGATCGCAGGCTGAAAGGAAATGATGGATGCCGAGGCGGGACGCGAGTGGAAGTGCCACTTGGCAACCCGCGGATGGCCGGCGATAGGGATGGAAGCGGTCATGGCGACGGTGCGAGGGAGGATCTCGATGAGCGTGGAGTTGAACGGCATGAAGATGAGATTCGCAAGCGCGGGCGACGTCGGGCCGACGAACAAAATTGCGCGGGAGAAGAGCTCCTTAGCTTGCAGTAGCGGCACGTGTTCGTGGTATACCACCACTCGCGCCTCGTCGAAGAGCTCCCGCATCATTACAATCACACGGTTCATCTCGTCAGCCGCCTCCTTATAATCACCTTCCGCGCCCTCCTTTCTGCCTGCTCCTCCTTTCAAAAGCGCCCCGTCCTCGAATCCGATATCCTCCCCCTCAGCCACCCCCTGACCTTCTCTCCCCCCATGCGCACTCCAAACCAGCGACACCACCACCACCCAATCCGGACGCAAAGCCTCCCCAACGACCATGTCTGCCCAAGCCTGCAGGTTCAGAGGCTGGCTCGGCAGGCGAAGCACCCATTTCGGGTTGAGGATTGGCAGGCTGTTGGGGGGGAGGAAGTGGTGCGCGCGGAGGGTGAGCCAGAGCGGGTCAGGGGAACGGGGGAGGGGGGAAGCGGCGAATCCACAGAGAGAGTCCGGGTGTAGCGGGAGGTAGAGCTTCTTTGCGAAGAACAGGTGCGGACGCGCTGCAGCCGCCCCTTTTGCTGACGTGGAATATTCTGACGTGGCGTCCAGGGGGATGGAGAGCGCGGCGAGATCCACTCCAAACAGCCCGGTGCGCATGTGGTGTAGCAACTGGGGGAAACAGTTTCTGCGGGGGGAGGGGGGAGGGAGGGGGGGGGAAGGGTAGAAATGTTGGGGTTGGGGGAGGAAAAAGCAGGCATGGGGGAGAAGAATCATGATACCCATCACAAGAGGTTGGCGGCGTGTTGCTCAGTGAGGTACACGTACGGCTCATGATGGTTGTGTTGCCTCACACGTGCCTCGATTCACACACCACTGACATACTCGCCGAGCTAGATCGGATCTGCCGAGAATCAAGTTCTGCAGCTTCTAGTGACTCGTACTCCGGGCCTGGCCTACAAAGCTCATGGTGGGGCCGGGCTCTTGTAAGGTAAGCCTCAATATCACACGAGATCACGCCGCCTCAATATACGCTTCAATGAATAAGTTGCTACGAGAGAAAGACCCGTCGATCCTAGAAATGAATACTGCAGCGGCTTCCATGACTCACCCGTCGGTCGCGCAGCAGCAGTGGGCATGAGAGGCGACGACACCAGGAACAGCACTGGCAGCAGCCGCGCCAGCTGCCGCTCCTTCGCGCTTTCACCCACCGCGCGCGCCTTTTCATCCCACCCGCGTGCTGCACTGTCACGACCCCCTTCCTCCTGCGCCGAGTCCTCCGTGTCCGCCGCCATCTCCTCCCACCCGTCGTCCTCCTCATCAGGAAGTATATTAATCAAATGCTCGTGGACGCTATTAACCATTCCTTCAGGGTACGCCATCTCCGATATAGCGTTTTTCTCTGCCCACGTTTTCCATGCGCCGCGAGCTCCGCCACAGCATGCGTTGAACTCGAATACGTGGCTCGCATTGAACACGACGCCCCTCTCGTTGACGAATACGTCGCGAAAAAGAAAGATCGTGCTGTTACCCGTCTCGTCTGTTACACTTGGGGAGAATTCGCTGTCAATTTGCTTCTCAAAGCCCCCCTTTTCACCCTCCCCTTCGCAGACGTCGCCTACGTGTAACAACGGGCACGGCCATAGCCACGGCCACTGGCGACATTGCGTTCGCGACTGTGTAACTTCCCCTTCACGAAACTGCAAGATGAAGGTTGCGAGGTTGTCATTCCCGACGGGGAGAGACCACTTGCATTCCAAGACTTTGCTCAACCCCCTCGAACCTGGCTGAAAGGTCGGGCAGACGGATATTGCCAGCCCGGCAACCGGGCTGGGCTTAGCGATAAAATTGGACGGGAATGCGGCGGGTGAACGGGCAACGATTTGAGGGAGGCACCTTTCACGGGAGCTTGCAAGTGCATCACGGTCTCAGTCCCTTCCCGCCTCTCACGCTGCGCGTCGCCGGTTTCCCCCGAATTTTCTTACTCGAAGGGAGTCTCGCCTCGGTTGTAGGTTAGGGCGAAGTGGGGTAGCAGGAACGGGCTCCAATGGGTGTGGCAGACTGTTTCTGGCTGTGACGGTTCGACGTGGTTCGAACGATGCGTGTGCGCGATGAAATGAGCGCTCGCATTGGTTGATGACGAGGAGGATTGACAACAGGGTAACTGATGCTACACTGGGATGAGTCCTTCGCAACTTCATGGCCGGTGACAGAGTCAGTTGGTTTTCCAAAGTAGGAAATGCTAGCGACTGCTATGGAATGAAGAAAGAAAGAACGATATTCCACGTTAGTATACTCAGAAGCGCTGTAACGTATTACCCTAACTACCGAGCTAACAACCATCGATCTCTCTCTAAGTCAATTGTTGAGAACTTCTCTCGACAAAGGAAGAGTTGGAGAAGATGGTTGAGTTGGTTGGGATGAAACTTGGTTTGGGTTTGCCAAGCCTCAACTTTGGAGGTTTGGAACATTTCCAACTCAACCAAGAGAATGTTGAAGGTTGGAATTCCAACCAATCAGAAACTGCCAAACAAGTGTTACAATCTACTCTATCCTAAACACAACCATTGAATGGTTCTAAGTTGGGTTTTCCAACCCAACACAATTGCCACATAGGCTCCAAGCCTAGGAACCATCCCACCATGGAAACCATGGTTGGGATAGTTCCCCAAGGGGTGTATTGAGGGGGTCTGAGCTAAGCAAGCTCATTCTCAACCTCCCACTCCAACAAAACAATTGGAAATGGGATTGTTTCTCTAAGTCCTTTTGGGCTCTCTCACAAGTCTCCCTACACTACTACTCCAAGTGCTTTTCATCAAAGGCATCAAGAAGATCTTCATCTCCAAGGCTATTAAGGCTAGTTAAAGCTACTATTTTGTATTGGAATATTATAAAAGCCTTGTAACCGCCATTATAATAGCCCTGGGCATTACATTGGTATCTAGAGCAAGGTTCTTCCTTGGCCTTGTGTGGCCATTTGCTACTTGGACTATTTTTTTTAGAGGATCCTAGCTTGTGGATCCAGGATTTCATCCAAGGAGCTATCAAGATCTTTGAAGATTTTGAAGAAATTTCAAGATCTACAAGTGGTTCTTCAAGATCTACAAAAGCTTCTACAAGATCTCCAAGCTTCAAGCTTCAATCTCCTCAACACACCATTGGAGCTTCAAGATCTACAAGGAGCTCATTTTTCTTCATCAACATTGAGAAGAAATTTGAAGAGATTAATTTCTCTTACCCACCTTTGGTGGAAGACTCTTGATCTACTTTGTGTAGAAGAGTGTACCTTCAGATCTATAAAGGGCTTGTTGAGGATTACTCTCTTGAGTATATCTTGCTCTATAATTGAAGTGATAGAGAGATTTGGCAAACAAGTCTATCTTAAGAGTTTCTGTATTGGATTATTCTATAAGAGTAATCAGATTTCTTAAAGATTATTATAAGATCTGTTGAGATCTCCTCTCCTTAACCTGTTTCATGGCTGCTGGTCAAGAGATGGATGCTACTAAGGAGGTGCCCGTTGTTGGCACTGAGGGAGATAATGCTGCTGCTGCTGCTGACATTGATCTCAACCTTGAGGATTTCGTGGTTGACATGGAGATCAATGGAAGTGAAGCTGACCTTGAGGCTGATGCTGAAAATGAGGAAGAGGCTGGCTCTGATGAGGGTGTTTCCAATGAAACTGAGAACATTGCTGTCAAGCTCCAGACTTCAACTCACGGAGCAGAATATTCTCATTGGAGTGCAACAGTGTCGTATCCAGAACTTGGAGGCGCTGATTCTGTTAAGCTTCAGGCCTTGATTGAGCAGCTGACCAGGGAGGTGCAGTTCATCCCTAAGGAAAACGACACCTCCAGCCTCATTCAGGACCTGCACAACACTCTTCAGTTCGTGCAGGATCAGCTCAAGAAGCAGGAGAAAAACATATCTGTGCTTCAGACCCAGTACAGGGAGATCCGGCGTGGAAACCTCTACCAGCCTGCTCCTGCAGCAGAGCGAGTCGCCAACGCCGCTAACAGCCGTGCTGCACCTGCTGATGCACCTCCTGCTGTTCCTCCTCCTACTGGAGCACGTGCTGAGCCTCCTACTGCAGCAGCAACTGCCTTTGGCTCCTGCCCTTCGGCCCTGCCTCGTTTTGTCCATGGCAAGACCGACGTCGAGACTTGGCTCTCCATTGCGGAGGACTTTATGTCCATCCACAATGTGCGTAGCGAGGCTCGTGTGGTCGCTGCAACCCTTGCCCTGGACGACACTGCGAGCAAGTTGGTGTATGCCAACAAGCGCCACGCAGAGGCTAATGGCCATCCTTTTGGCTGGGAGGAGTTCAAAGCTGCCATGCTGGCGGCATTCCTGAGTCAGCCCCCGGCGCTCGAGGTGCGTAGCCGCCTGGAGAACATCCAGTGCGGTGACCAGCCTGTACGCGAGTACGCCAAGGAGTTTGAGAAAACTCTGTCGCTGCTGAAGACTGCTCTTCCTGAGAGCGAGGTCATCCACCAGTTCTTCAAGGGTCTCCCTGAGCACATCAAGCGTGTGCATGTTGTGCGCGGGGAGCACCAGTGGAGGACCTACAAGGAGTGCAAGGAGCAGGTCATTGACACGGATGTGAATTTCCGTGCGTACATGACTCACGCCCGTGCTCAGCAGCAGCCTAGTGCCGAAGGCCCTAGGGGGGGTGGTAACAGGACTCAGGCACACAGGGGCAGTGGCTCTTGGAAGAGGCCCTATCAGCAGAAGGGGGAATCCTCTGGGACTCAGTCCAAGAGGGCCCATGCTGGGCCTGCCAAGGATCCTCAGGATGAGGATAAGCCCCCGGCAGGCTGCCGCATCTGTGGCAAGCTCGGGCACAAGTCCTATCACTGCCGTTGGAGGAAGTCCGTCAAGAACTCCGGCAAGCCCAACCAGGGCAAGAAGCCGGATGGTTCTGGCCCTTCGGGCCCGAAGGATTTTCCGAAGTCCAACTAGGGGGTGGGTACCTAGTTGGTGAGCGAGATCGAGTAGATGAGGCTTATGTCCTTCGTGATGAGGATTTGCTAAAGCTAGAGAAGCTTGCATCATGCAAAATCGCTTGTTTGTATGCCTCTTCTATTAATGAAAAATCTGTTTTTATAACTCGATCATACCCACTTGAAAACATCTCAATTGAATCCTTGAGAGATAAATTTTCAATCATCTCTTGCTCGTTCAACGAGTTGCCAGCAATCATGGATATTGTGGACCGTTGTGTCCAAGAGCACCCGCTCACGTCAGTGGGATTGGTGACTCGAATCGTGAAAGGAGAGTTGTTCCGCCGATTTCACGAATGGCATATCCTGGCAACATGGGACAAGGGGCACCATGTTTGGTGGACCACATCCCAAAGGTTTGGACGCGCTCACAACAAATTTAGGGTGTACTTTCGACCTCCTAAACTTGTTGTCGCTTGTCCCATCCGTCCAAGATTTCAACAGAATCTACTGTTATCTGGACGCATGAATGGGGACGAAGCAAGGATTCTCGTCGATACAGGCGCGTCGGTTTCCCTTGTTGATGAAACTTGGGTTACGACACGCAACGTCCTCGTTGTAGGACCGTCGTGTCCCATCCGCTTGGGTGACGATCGTGTCATTCCAAGTAAAGGACAGACACATATCGACATGAAAGTACAGGACTATAGCGAAACAGTTCGCGTATATGTCCTACCACTTTTGTCAGGAGTCGACCTCATCCTGGGCATGGATTGGTTGAGAGCCAACGAAGTTATTCTGGACTTCCAGTACAACATTGTCTCGTTCAACAAGAACGGAAAGGCAATCCAGTGGCAAGTCAATGATACTTTGCCCACTGAAACACAGACGCCTGAACGTCCCAGCGCGCTGTCTGTGTTGGCCAACCAATTCGGGCATTCTGTTAAGTCGGCTGATACACTATTCGTGGTACAGCTTGAGAATGTCGAGGCCTCGGAGCCAGCGATTGAGGATTTCCCTCCTCAAATGAAAATACTGGCAGAGGAATTCAAGGAAGTGTTTGAAACCATCCCTGATGGACTTCCGCCTGACCGCGCAGTGGGTCACACCATCCCTGTTGAACCAGGAAAGGTTCCACCCTTTCGACCTCTGTATCGCCTCAGTCCAGCTGAGTACGAAGAGGCCAAACAACAGATCGAGGAATACCTCAGAAAAGGATGGATTGAACCCAGTGCATCCCCTTACGGAGCACCAATTTTGTTCGTTAACAAGAAGGGCGGAGGATTACGCATGTGCGTAGATTATCGTGCCTTGAACAAGATTACGGTGAAGAACAGATACCCTCTACCACGAATTGAGGATCTGTTCGATCGGCTCCAGGGAGCTCAGTGGTTCAGTGTGCTCGACTTAGCTCAGGGGTA